GGCCCTATATTTTCCCAGATTTGCAGATATGTCCCTCATGAATTTCCTTACAGGCAGGTCTCTCGGTTAGCCCTCAGCCAAACAAAATTACGAATTTAACCCTACCAGTTAGTGTACAGCCTCGCAGTCAATCTCGGCAGTAGAAATCAGCAAGTCATTGCACTTCGCTATGACGCAAGGCAACACATCGACACGTGACTGGCTCACGGAATGGCAAAACATCGCGGCAACGCCCGATCTTGACTTGCCATTTTCGCATCTGCGCCACGAGTTCTACAACCGGTCATGTGCCGCCTTGAGCTTTGCACTTTGTGATCGCGCGCAATACGCGACCTTCGCTGAAATCATTGACAAGGCAAGGGAGATCATCAAGACCAATAGGGCAGCTGCACACGAGAAATCAGCATGGCAACCAACCTATGTGGAGAAGGTGAAAACTGGTCCGCGGCTGCAGCATGTCGCTGCAGTCCAATCGGACAACATTGTGGAAGACCTGGCAGCCACCCAAGCGTCACGTGAGGGAGATTAGGTGGCTGCTGTCCAGCCGTGAAACAACAACAAGTCCCGAGGAAACGGGAAGGCGAAAACTGCATCGCCGGCCGGAAACGGATAGCCAGGACCATGGGTCAAGTTTCACTTGACCGAGGCGGAATACAAGTGGCGCGGCCGCTACGGCTGCTGCTATTGGTGCAACAGTACCAAGCACAAGACCTCCCAATTCCCGGATCAAGGCAAGGAGGATGTTCGGCCTCGTATCAACTCGGGAAACCGAGTTCCGCGGGAGGTGAGGCGACTCCACCTCTCACTCTGCCAGATTTGGCCGCCTTGCTAGTGGCCTCCTACACATCTGGGGAGGATGCGAATGTCGCAAGTTCTCGGTACACTTACAAGGACTATGCTGTCCACTTGGTCCCACAGTTGGACCAACCGCTCCACGTGCAACAATCTACCGCATGCACGGTTTCACTACCATCGGCAACCGAGTCGGCAGCTTCGCCGTCATCTATAGCCGGGGATTCGACGATATGGTCAAGACTTAAAGAGCTCGACCCGTTGACGTTTGCGGACTTCCAATGGATGCCCCTTCCCCGGTCCGGTCGATTGCCGAAACCACATTGCAACGTGCTCATGGCACAATTGCGGGATTACTTGCACACTGCAGTACCAACTCCGTTGATGGACGCCGGAGTAGAGGTTGTCGACCTTCACAATAACATTGCGAAGATCAACCGCGAGTTCAGGACACAACGGTACGACGACATCGACGCACCATTGTTATATGTACGCATTCAGATCGGAGAGGCGACCTGCAGCGCTTTGATCAATTGCGGAGCATCTCGCAAGTACATGAGTCATGACTTTATGGTACGCGCCGGCCTTGGCCCACGCGTCTAGAGGAAGTCCCAACCTATGCAAGTCACGTTGGCGGATGGTCACACGCACAAGTCAATAGACCGGTGCATAGATGATGTCCCCATGTACTTTGCCGTGCATGCAAGCGAGGCGGTGTCCTTCGATATTTTGGACACCAAATTCGACATGATCTTGGGCATATCATGGCTGCGAAGCGATGATCACCCGGTGAACTTCTACCGCCGCACCGTTCACATTCGTGATCGGAACGGAGTACTGGTCCCATGCACAGTTCCTCCTCCACACCCTTCGATCAGCTGCCACGTGGTGTCCGCCGCAAGCACGCGAGCTTCCATGATCAGAGACGACATCGAGGAAATGGGGGGGTGTTTTCTCCACGCCCTCCCGCCCCATGACGCTTCATCGACGGACTCATCTTCGCCCGCACGGAGTAGTACCGGATCGGCCCATCCGCCACAAGATTATCCTCGAGGACGGGGCTGTACCTCCGCGTGGTTGCATCTACCGAATGAGCGAGGAAGAGTTAAGTGTGCTGCGGGCACAACTCGACGACCTTCGGGAGAAAGGCTGGATTCGGCCTAGCTCATTGCCATACGGTGCTCCCGTTCTCTTCGTCCGGAAGAAGAACAAGGATTTGCGGTTATGCATCGATTATCGCAAGCTCAGCGCGCAAACGGTCAGAAACGTCGGCCCTCTTCCACACATCGACGACCTTCTCGAACGGCTGGGCGGCGCCAAGTTCTTCTCCAAGCTTGATCTCAAATCGGGATATCACCAACGCGAGATTCGGCAGGGGGACTGCTACAAGACCTCGTTTAAGACGCGATATGGGCATTTCGAATGGCTGGTTATGCCATTTGGCCTTACGAATGCCCCGGCCACTTTCCAAGCAGCTATGACAACGGAGTTCCGACACATGCTGGATCGATACGTACTTATCTACCTCGACGACATCCTGGTGTACAACCGGAGTTTGGACGAGCATGTGGAACACCTGCGCACCGTTTTGGAGCRGCTACGACAMGCCAAGTWCAAAGCCAACCGCRACAARTGCGAATTCGCGCGGCARGAGCTGGAGTACTTGGGACATTATGTGACGCCGCAAGGCATCCGTCCRCTTGYGGACAAGATCGAGGCCCTCCGCGTATGGCCCGAGCCCACCAACACCACRAACGTCCGTTCATTCATGGGGTTRRTGGACTACTATCAGYGATTCATCWCYGGTTACTCAAGGATTGYTGCACCTATGACGAGATTACAATCGTCAAAGGTGCCATTCGTATTCGATGACGACGCACGCCRGTCATTCCAAACACTTAAGACGGCCATGYTGATGGCACCCGTCCTTAGCATCTATGACCCCACCCTGCCTACGAGAGTGACAACTGACGCTTCCGGCTATGGCATTGGGGCAGTCTTGGAACAACACGATGGCGACGACTGGCACCCTGTGGAGTATTTCAGCCACAAAGTGCCTCCCATCAATTCGCTTGATGATGCAAGGAAGAAGGAGTTGCTCGCGTTCGTGATGGCTCTCAAGCGATGGAGGCACTTCCTCCTTGGGCGTCGAAGGTTCACATGGGTCACGGACAATAACCCGTTGACCTACTACAAGACGCAGGATACGGTGAGCAGCACGATCGGACGATGGATGTACTTCATCGACCAATTTGACTTCACACCGAAAAACCTCCCCGGCCTCTCCAATCGCGCGGCAGATGCACTCTCGCGAAGACCCGATCTTTGCGCTATGACACATCATGCCTTCGCATTCGACGAGGAACTCCAGCGACACTTCATGCGGGGTTATGAGTCTGATCCGGACTTCACCACGTTGTATGCGCAGCTATCTTCGGATCACCCGCCGGCCAGCCACTATCGCATTGTCGATGGGTACTTGCTCCTCCACTCGAGAGGCAAGGACTTATTGTGTGTCCCACGAGATCGTCGTCTTCGGACTCGCCTTCTCGGGGAGTACCATGACTCGCGACTCGCCGGCCATTTTGGAGTCAACCGCACTATTGCACGGCTTCGACAACGATTCCGATGACCCGACCTCATTACCGATGTCACTCGGTATTGCAACTCTTGCGAAGTTTGCCGACGAAGCAAGCCCCGCAATCACAACCCCTACGGCGAGTTGCGCCCGATGCCTATCCCACGGGAACCCGGCCTCTCCATTGCCATGGATGTCACCGGACCATTTCCCCGCGAACGCCTCGRGCACGAYGGCATCCTCACGGTTGTGGACCGTTTGAGTAAGTATGCGCGTTTTCTCCCTTGCAAGTACTACTCCACGGCTCCCRAGMTGGCAYGCCTCTTGCACACCAGTTGGATTTGCGGCCACGGTGTACCGGAAGACATAGTCAGCGACCKCGACACTCGCTTCATGTCGACATTTTGGATTGCTCTCATGCAGGAGTCCGACAYGAAGATGAAGCCAAGTTCGRCTCGGCATCCACARAYAGACGGGCAGACGRAGCGGGCACATCAGACCGCTCAAATGATGCTTCGTACGCTCATCCGTCCGGACCAGAAAGATTGGGTTGACCGCCTCCCCRACATCGAGTTCGMCTACAACACTTYGGTGCACCCGRCGATCGGYGTGACTCCATTCGAGTTGCACCACGGTGGMCGGAAAGGCCGTATCTTCGCCGACCTTCTCCTCCCACGACCARCCGACATCRACGCCGCTYGCTCTCCCGCTTCCATCCGAAAGTACAGRGAATTGCTGGCTCAAGCCCGCACGAATATGCAAAAGGCTCAAGTCCGCATGCAGCAGCAAGCCAACAGGCGTCGCGTGCCATGTCGCGCGYCGGTGAYCTGGTTTGGGTCTCCTCGGAAGAGTTTGCACTGGAACAGGATGTTTCACGCAAACTGCCTCCCAAGTGGTTTGGACCATGGCCCGTAACATCAGCCGCGGGCAATGAGCCCGATGGCCCTTCATTTGTGATCAACATCCCCCCGCATCTGACGGTCCATCCAATCTTTCACGCCTCGAAGTTGGCAACATATACACCAGCTAAGAGCGACGACTTCCCGGGCCGACGATCGCAGGACCCTCCATCTATGGATGGTCATCAGGAAGTTGACCGTGTCATCACGGATCGCAAGTACGGCAGCAAGCCTCGACAGTACAAAGTTACGTTCAAAGCATGCGATCCCGACGACACTCGGTGGATTTCAGGAACAAATTTGAAAGCATCCGCACTGCTGATCTACGCTCACTACGAGCGACAAAGGTTAGCTCAGGGACCTTCACGACCTGCCCCTCCCACCCGGACTGTGGTCCCTCGCTCAGACAGACAGCTTCGCCCTCGCAGGTAAGCTCGGTCTTTCAAGGGGGGGGGGGGGGGGGCATACTGCGTAGCCACACGGGTCTGCAGGGCCCGTCCCGCATTCTCAGCCTAAAAGCCTAGAAATAAGGGCTTACAGACCCCATGTCATTTCAGCCTGAAAACTGAAAACGAGGGCCTGCAGACCCTATTTCGTTTTTAGCCTAAAACAGGGCGTTTCAGCCCTGAGTCTTTTCAGCGAAACGGAGGGCCACTTTCGGGCCCTCATAAGATCGTCCTGCCCTAGAACTCAGGCAACAAACCAGGGTTTTGGGAACAGGCTATTTTTGGCCTGTTCCCCACGCCAGCCTCAGCAGGAGCTGCAGCGCAAACGCCAGCCTCAGCAGGAGCTGCAGCGCCAGCCCCTGGCTTGCGCTGGCATTGGCAAGAGCAGCCTCCTGGACTGCCTCGCCCTGCAGTCAGGAGGCAGGCCGAGTAGTACATAGGGAGTTCCCCTGCACTTCATGGGTAGGTAGTTGGACAGAAGGCAGGAGGCAGTCTTCAGGATTCGGCAGCACTCTGGAGGAGCGCTGCAGGAGTAGCTTAGCGCTAGCAGTAGTCTTCAGCGCTGGGCGCTAGTAGCTGCAGGAGTAGTCTTCAGCGCAGGGCGCTAAGTAGTGGTAGAGGTAGTAGTCTTGGAGAGAGATGGCTGGGGGAGGCCAGCGAGACTTACCTGTGGCGCCATAGCTCCAGCTCCATCTTCGAGGTACCTGCATCAAGGCGCCAGCTTCACAGGTTAGTACTAGAGAGAGAGAGAGAGAGAGAGAGA